GAGAGAGAGAGAGAGAGAGAGAGAGAGAGAAATGCTGAGGATCAAACAAACCAGGTCTCATGTATGCTAGGTAAGCACTCTACCACTGAGCCACATCCTAGGCCTTTTAATTTTTATATCAAGATAAGATCTTACGAAATTGCCCAGCCTGGCCTTGAACTTGTGATCCTCCTGCCTCAGCCTCAGTAGAAGCTGGGATTACACATGTGCACCACTATATCCAGATTCATTTAGCTTTCTATACATTGATCACTTTATTTGGTTGTCCTTTTTTGTTATATTTCAGACCATTCATCTGGGATCTCTTTCATTCTTCTTGAAGTACATTATTCAGGATTTCCATTTGTGAGAATCTACTGCAGGCATAATATTTCCACTTTAGTTTGGTGAAAATGTCTTTTATTTTGCTGTTATTCCTGAAAGATATTTTTGTTGGGTATGGAATTTTAGTTTAGCAGTTATGGCAGTTATTTTCTGTCCACAAAATGAGGGTAACATTGTTTTGTCCCTTGGGGCTTGCACTTTGCTTCTTGAGAGGTCAGCTGTCAGTCTAATTTCTATTCTTTAGTAAGTCTGTTCTTTAATGTCTGGATATTTTTTCTTTCAACTTTTTGTTTACATATAATATATATGCAGAAAAGTGTATGCATCATAAAAATACATCTCTATGAATTTTTAAAAACGGAATGAGCTCATGTAACCAGCATCCAAGTCAAGACACAAAACATTACAATCACTCCATGAGCCCCTGGATCCCTGGATCCTCTTCCCCTTAGAAAATCGTTAAAGTTTTCTTTTTGTTCTGGCTACTTATATTATTTTCTCTTTAAATTTCTTCTTCTGTAGGTTCATTATGATGTTTCTAGTGTGGATATATTTTATTCTACTTAGAATTCACTGAATCTATGATATGATTTTTAAAATTAATTTTGGAAAATTATCAGTTATTTCTTCAAGTATTATCCAGACCTTTCTATTCCATTTTTGGAACTCCAGTTAACATATATTAAATTTTCATATGGAATCATCTGCTTTTCTTATCTGTTTTCCTTTCCATCTATTGTTTTTGTATTCTTCAGCACAGTTTATTTAGTTTACTAATCCCCTCCTCAGTATGTCATTAATCTCCATCATTAAGTTGCTCATTTGGAGTATTATTTATATATATATTTTAGTTGTAGTTGGACACAATACCTTTATTTTATTTATTTATTTTTATGTGGTGCTGAGGTTTGAACCCAGGGCCTCGCACATGCTAGGTGAGTGTTCTACTGCTGAGCCACAACCCCAGCCCTGGAATATTATATTTTTGAATTTTTAAAATTTTATAAAATATAGACCACATATAGACAGTGCACAAAACAATAATTATTGCTCAATTAATTATTGCAAAGCAAACATTTATGGAATCACTCTCCAGGAAATAAAACATTGCTAAGGACGTTCTTATATACTATGCCAGTCATTCAACCCTCTGTCCCTTTATGGATAAACATTATCCTGATTGGATATTAATCACTGCCTTGATTTTTTTTTTCACATTTACTATCATGCACTCTTAATCAATGTAGTTTTATTTGTTTGTTTGTTTGTTTTGGTACCAGGGATTGAACCCAGGGGGCTTAACCACTAAGTCTCCAACCCTTTTTATTTATTTATTTATTTATTTATTGAGACAAAAGTCTTACTAAGTTGCTTAGGCCTTCCCTAAAGTACTGAGGCTGACATTGAACTTTCAATCCTTCTGCATCAGCCTACCAAGATGCTAGGACTACAGGCAAGTGCCACTGTGCCCAGTAATTTTTAAAAATTATTTTTAAATACACAGAAGAAAAGGGAACAAATCCTAAGTATACAACTCAGTGAATTACCAGAAAGTGAATATACCTGTGTATCTACTACCCAGGTCAAGAATAGAATTTATTATTACCTCAGAAACCCCTCAAACCTTTATCTCAGTTATACTTTGACTATAAATCATATACTAATTATATGTGTTGTAAATTTCTTTTGTCCTCTGTGAGCTTTCTCTTCCCTTTCTTAATGATGCCTTCTTTTAAACAGAAGTTGCTAATTCCAATGTATTAAATTTTTAATCTTTTAGATTGGTGCCATTTATGTCCTGTTTAAGAAGTTCTTTTCCTACCTAGAGTTTAAGATTATTTTTAGGAATAAATTGAAGATATTTCCTCCAGATATGATTTTTCTTTTCTTCTTCCATGTTCATGGGCACTGTGACAATAATTAATTCATTGTCTCAGTTCTAAATCACTGCTTCTTGGACCTGTCTTGTGATATAGGAACTAAACTCTGTAAACATTTCTCCTTTGCTAGCTGGTTTGATTTTAGGTTTTGTTAATAGAGAAAGGGCATGGAAGGATTCTGTAGATCCTTAGCAAGAGGCAGAGGCTTTTCCTCCAGACTCTGGTATGCTTTTTTTGGGGGGGGTACAACTGTGAGCAGAGCACCATATCAAGAGGTTCTGATAGTTCACCTTAGCATTTTTCATGGACTGGCTGTGGCCCACCTGCACTTTCTGGTAAGTTTCTCTATCAATTGTAGAGAGGTTACAAACCATCTCTGGCCTGTATCCTCTGGCAGATTTCTTTACCACTGACAACCACACAATTCTGTGGTAGCCAGGACCTTTCCAATGAAGACTGTATCCTTGATGGTGGTTGAAGTGCTTCTAAAATTCTTGGGAACTTTCCCTCTGCCCTAAAAGTAGTAGCTTCTCTGTATTTGCTATTTAAAAATATTCCTTAG